AATGTGATCAATTGACTTCCCTATAAAACACACAAGAATGATCTCTTCACTGGTTTTCACTGTGTGGCCTTATTATAGGAACCATGGGCTGCAGGTGCAGAGAGGAAATAGACCCTAAACCATCAAAGTACATCTGCTACAAGTTTGTGCTGGTTTTTATCATTGAAAGTGTGTGAAGATAAGCTGCAGTCGCAGCTCCCATTGCACTGACTGGTCATCGTCTGCTGTCAATACCAAATGTGTCTTGATTGACAGTATAGTTAAAATTGACCCTTCAAAAATAAAAGTAAATCTTACTGTATTACCCAGTCATCGTCTGCTGTCAATACCAAATGTTGGTTTTCACACAAATGCTGTACTGATGTCAATGGCCACTTACAACTGAAAACAAAAAAAATAAAATGTCAGACTCACCAGTTTGTGTCCAACACGATGACGGCCCTGCTGTCAAAGTGGTATCAGAACTCCTCTGTCGTAACTCCACCTCCAAAGGCTGCTCCACTTCTTCATGCTCCTCGTGTCATTTTCATCTCAAGAGTTAATGAAGAAATCAAATCCAGTTTGTTAATTATTCCCAACAGTCTTGCATGTACTCTGTCTGCTTCCACAACAACTGAAGAGAGAGTCACTGATTAGCTGATATCTTACACCTGTTGCTCTCCTGCAGATGTAGGTAGGTGAGACTTACACTCAACATTGATTGGTCACTTTCATTACTCTCTGAAGGCCAAGCAGGGTGTTTTGTGATTTGAATAAATACTGTTAACACAATCTTCTGGTGATCACAGTCATTTTCTAGGACTTCATTCATAAATAGGAACGCTGTCATCCATTTAGTTTAGCCATCACTGTTTGAGCTCTTTGTTTTGTTTTGTTTCAAACTTCCTGATGTTAAAGGGAGAAGACTACAGATTGGTCCATTGAGAGCGATGAAGAACACTAAAGTATTTGTTCTATGCTCAGACTCAACCTTGAAAGTCTGTGTGACCCCGTGACTCCTTGTGAGTTTCACTGCTTTGGGTTTATTTTGTCGTCCTCTTGATGAGCCTCCAATAAAAGTGCTATCCGTTGTGCATTTTCATAGGCTTCCTGGCGTTATAATTTTAGAACTATCTGGCCTTCAACTTTAGATTTTGCAGTTTATAGCAACACAATAACATATGTCGGCATCTGTGCGTGCTGCATTGTACTTCCACGACCCGATGCAGAGTTTTAAAAAGTCCCATCTAATCAGTTTGCAGCAGAAGTTGCTCATAACCGCCGAACACGGGACTCGTAAAATGGAAGCTGCAAAAACAGATGTCCTCATGAATTAGTGAGGCACCCATGAAAAATTAACAGATGACCTAGGACATAAAGCCAGGAGGCATATGCTCAGTTAATTCTTCCTTTAACATGCATAATAATGCCTCCAGTCACTGTTTCCACTCATGGCCCCGTCCAGCTGCAGCAGGACTGTTTCTGCAAAATTAATGGTGACAGAAATGCTTGTCAAATAAATAACAGTAAGAGGCTGTGGGAGAAGAAGCCACCTTAGATTTGTCACTAAGTGACAATGTTTTTTTTCAAACAATGTTTTTTTTAATGCCATAATATCATGGGGTTAGCTTCAAAAAATGCGTCAGAGTTTCTTCCAAGTATCTTCTTGTTAAAGAATGTGTAAGATACTCCAACTAATGCTGTGATGATGCATGTTTCAGCCCAAATGGTTGACATTTAAGTCGGTAGTCTGATTGTTCTTCACATAACTGTGTGGTTTTGTTACATTAACTGTGAATTTGTTTTCTTCTCACCCAGTAGATTCCAAGCTTAGGGAATGGGTCAATATGACAAATGTATTCAAGGTTTACTTATTTGTTTAATGTCAACTGAAAAAAAAACACTTGTGTTTAATACTGGGTACATTTGCAGAAGATCAAGAGATAAACATCACTGTATAATAGTGGATGGATGGATGGATGGATGGATGGATGAATGGATGGATGGATGGATGGATGGACAGTATAAACATAGCAGTCACCTGCTCGGTTTTGCTTTCTGTCTTTCAACTCATTTGACTAAATATTAGACATTTGTGTGAAATCTTCAGCTTATAAAATACATTTCTTTACAAAGGTAAATTTGGTTTTGTTGAAGATAAAAATTATTCTATCCAAAACTTGATCAACTCATACTAATCACTACTCACACAAAACAAGATCAACAAATATAACACAAGAATAGCAGTGTGCCAGTTGCTCTGGGGAAAAAGACTTGCAGATTTTGCTGCACTTTGTCTGGTGAATGGCCATAATCATGACAAACACAAACCCACTTTGAACTTTGAACCACTCTTCACAAGTGAACACGGTTCACTGACCTCACTTGTTTTTTCCCATTTCACAGACTCATTTTGGGTCACACCACCATCAGAGGTGCGGTGATGAAGAGTGAGGAGGTCCTGGCCTGTATTGTCATCATCATCCATCTGAGCACATTCACTCATGTCGTTAATACAAACCATTACCAGGCATTAGCCTCACTGTCATTGTGTCCTGTAAAGGCCTGACAATGACCGTTAATGGACCGACCCTCTGACTTCATCCCGGACACTTGTCTGTGATCTTTCCAGCTGTCATTGTGTCTGGTTGTTCTGCTGCAGCTGCAGGTGGAGCAGCAGAGCAGAGGCCTGATGCTGATGACCACCAGCTGCTGCACAATCATCCAACCTGATCCTTTACACCTGCTGCCCACCAATACAGCAAATTAGCTCTTCAAAGACTCATTCTCTTGAACCAGTCTTTTGTTTGAGATTCAATAGAGCATGATAGAGAAAAAAAAATCGTATTTACTAAAACAGTAATAATTATCCTCATCTGCAATTAAGACCTCAAAAACAAAACTAATAACAAATACACATACAGGTGATGTGATGTGGTCAAATATGGGCAGTTCATGTAGCTGTGTTCAAGGGAATATTCTAAAACACTAGTCACCTCTGAATAGGCCTGTGGAGCCCACACACTCAAGTGTTTATGGAGGTACCTCCCCCCCCCCTCTTACCATCACAATGTCTAGACTGCTGTTCAGCTGAGAGACACAAGCAATTAGGAAGTCGTTATGCACACACTTGCTGATGCTCGTTTAGAATCCAAACAAACTGCAAACAGTCGTGTTCCTACAGAAAGTTTCCCTCCCACTTGTGCTCCAGCTGCAGTCTTTCAACAGGGAAAGCTGTTTCACCTGCGGTATTTCAGTCCCAGGTGTCACAACGACCGACTGTTGAGTCATCATTATTCATGGTTTACCTTTCATTTTTATACTGTAGATGTTGGAAGGTTTCCACCTAGGTTTCCACAACTAATTGTGACACACTGCTGTAAGATGATGATGATGAATTAAAGCTTTATTTTCAGTAGTCCCCTCTCAGTGTTAGTTGAAATTGTATTAGGTCGCACTTCAGGCACACTGATAGATAATCTTTAGTTACACTGACCCTGTTTACCACAGCTATATGACAATTTTTTCTTTGGAGACATGTTTTTGGTTGCAGTACCATAAGTGTCCAGCAGTGTTCCCTTTCAAAGAAATGTACAAATTATCTTAAATACTGGTTCAGTTTTTGGGTTATTTTAGAATCAGATATTATATATGACACATATATAAGGAACAAATTCTAAACAAAAAAGAAAATAAGTTTTTTATTATATAGATATGTTTTTTATTAGAAATAAAACACATTCATTTTGTGCTCTGAAAACTGTACATTAACAAAGAGTCAACCCCATTAAAATAAAAAAAGGGAAATAAAAACAAGAGGGGAGGGAGGAGGAGAGAGCGGGGTCACACATGGAGGGGGACGTCTGAGGTCGAACATTGAAGAGAATGGAGGGACGGGGGAGGCAAGGTTTGAAGAAATACAGACCCGAGGGAGTGACTGGCGGTGATATCAAAAGACAAGTTACTTTTGTGACACACGGAACACTCCTACAGTCCAGTAACCTGAAGGCATGGAGGGGGGAGGAGGGGAGGTGAGGGAGGGCAGGAAGTGACAGGGGCGGGGAGGATAATTATGTTCATATTTAGAATAATGATAACAACTATCCCCAAGCACAGTAAGAAAGATATTTATGGGCTAAAATCCATTCTGTAGAACTCTGAAGTAATTACAATGCTGTACATCACGACTCCAAATGAGCCTTTGTGCTTTCTCTGTGTGCGACCAACCATCCCTCACACAAACTCTTTATGTCCTTCTTTTATAGCATCATCTTTAATCATTATACCATATACAATATATATTTATAGAGCTGGTCATTTGCTGACCTGTGACAAATTAAAGGAGAAAAAAACATGAACAGAAGACAGGATGACGATGAGCTCAATAAAAAAAAACTAAACAACAACAATATAATAGTATGTTGTTTGCCTTTGTTATCAACCCGTTTCTGATGAAAGGGTTTATTAGGACCATTTCTCCTCCATAGACACAACGTGAATATCTGCCGCTGTAGGAGGAGGATCTTTGTAAACTTCTGGGCCCAGAGTTTGTCACCGCGCTGACTGTACGCACCACTCTTTCATGCCCTTTGACCTGCAAGCGTATATGCACGGGTGTGATGTATAAAGACTGTACCATTGTTAAAAAGTGTCCTTTAGTGTTCCAAAAATCTTTCAAGTAGAGTTCCAGAGAGAATGGTGGCACAGCGTGGTCTTTACACCTTGGCACAAAAGTTCATGTTTCTTCATCCTTTAATTTGCCATCTGCATGAACCTTTTATTACCCAACATACACACAAACACGCACAGCTACACAGATGTAGCTTCTCCTCAGCATTGTTAAAAAAAACCCAACATCACGGATTCCTTCCCTGTTCTACACTAAACAAACAAAAAGGCATTTGTTAGAGCTGGCCCTTTTCTTGATGAGCTGACGTCCATGTTGCTCCTGCTGTGAGCGGCTGAGGTCGTCTCTGCAGTGGCTGTCAATATGTACAGTAGGCCACCTGTCGTTCTGGCTCTTTTTTTATCTTGCCCGTCTGTTTAGGGCTAAAAAAGAAGAGGACAATAGCACTGAGAGGCAAGTGGACGGAAGTTTGGCAGTCTGCCTCCTCAACCACTTTTTTTTTTTATTTCCCTTTTGCAATTAATGTTGACAAAAAAAGAAACATCCAGGAGAGGTCGTAGCTCAGCGCAACTGAAGCAGTCGGATGTAGAGAGCAGAGGCAACGGTCATTTGAACAGGGTTAACAAAAAAAAATAAGAGACATAATCATGAGTATTACATTTTTACCATTTAATACAGGGGCAAATGAGCATGACTACCTCAGCTGTGCTGTTTATGACATGATGCACATATAGCAGCTCAATCCTCCACTTTAGAATCCGTCTCCCACACAGGCCAGCATGGTATCTGAGACCATGTAGGAGAACATGACCAGAACTTCTTCAGGACACAAACACAGTCCAAACATCAAATGAAACAACAAAGTGAGACACTTGCATTTTGGATTAAATCTTTAGTTTTCTGATTGTTTTGTTACTTCACTCTCCTTCACACCTTTCCTACCCCCTCACAGTCCTGCAGTGGGCTTCATCCAGCCTTGGAGTATACGTACAGAGCAGGGCAGTGAATGTCGTGTGTCTGCTTGTTTTTCCGAAACAACTGGAGAAAAACAACAACTTAAAAAAAAAATAGGCGTACGAATGAGGTCAGTGTCAGAGGTCACACCTCTGTCTGCAGGTCCATGATCTCCTGGCCAACCAGAGGAATGGTAGCACTGGTCTTTTCCCACTCCACCGTCTGAAGTTCCAGAGGAGAGGCCGCCACTGTCTCCAGGTCCTTCCTCACCCAGGATGGAGGGGAGTGGGTCTTCCTGATGCTCTCCCATGCCCTCTTACTTGGAGTCTGTTGCTTATCCTGAGTGCAAGGAGAGGAGAAAGTGAAAACTCTTATTCATCCTCAGATTAAATCTTACATATTTCAGCTATTTTGGTGGATGCACTTAATGTCACACTGCCTTTTATTTCTCGGAGGAACAAAGTAGCATATATTTGTTTTGAGCCAGGAGGTAAAAGATAACATCACTCCCACAGTGTGTGTGTTAACAAAGCCGTGGATCTGGGTCTAATTTTAGTACTGAAAACAGGAACAATAGGAACGTTACTTTTTTTGTGTCTGATATTCAATTGATGTAAATAAAATAATGTACTGTGTCTGTATATATCTTTATATATATATATATATAAAGTGTATATGTATTTATAAGCCAATTAGAACACATTCTTACCACACAGAGACTTCTCTGCTGCTGTCAGTGGTTTATGGTTCATTTCTTAGTCTGCCTACTTCCAAAACAGTACAATTCATACTGTACTAACTTCTTACTTAGTTTTAAAACAAGTAATACTAAGGAAGCCATTTATGGGCCGTGTACTGGTTTAGTGGCCTTTTAGAGCAGTGGGCCCTATTACAGTTAAAACTTTAATTAATAGCTCATCTGGCAAATAGAAATGTCTTTGTTTCCAGAAGAAGTTTATATTCAATTGTAAGAAGTCTCACAGCTGCATTTTAACAGTCCCCTTGAAATACCTTATGCTACATTTGGAGTCATGATCTGCAGCATTGTTATTAGTCCAGTTCTTCCTTGGCTGTGATAAAGTTTTATTTTACCTATATATTTTATTTAATGATAGAAAGCCTTTTTAGCACTTTGGCTAATTTTTGAAATATGTCCCTGAGGTTGTAGCGTCCTTATTCCTGTCATTCATTTACTTAAATATCTAGTTCACTTTTTTAAAATTAAGTATAATAAGGGATGACTGTTGATCTGACAGTCAGTTAAGAGAGCTTTAAGCCTTTCAATAATTAGACTTTGTTTCCTTGATATTTTACTAAAATAAATGTCTCCTTTAACTGAACCACCTTCCACCTCCGGCTTATCAACACACTGATGTGGGAGCTCTGGCAAAAGGGTGGAAATCCAATGATTTTGTATCAATCTTTTTCTATGAAGTCCTTTGACCAACAGAGTTATAAACACAGCACTTCACTCAATCGGCTGGAGCAGCACATGCATAACAAAGAAGCATGGCAGTAATGATTGGGATAAATTGTGATTGTGGCTGATGATCCTGAAAAGTAGAATGAGGTCAATCTCTCTGCCTCTTCTATGGATATGATTCTGCTACCAACTTAATGAGAACCTCTCACAAATATCTGACTATGATCTGGAACCTGGCATCAAATTGCTGAAAGTGAGAAATAAGGAGTGAAGTTGGGGTTGAAGCCAGACTGACTCCAAGACTGTGAAACAACTGTAGCTTCACAGCCGAAGGAGATACATCCTGTTGTTTGACTGCAGCTACAAACCCAACATGCCAGTCCCTGCTTTTTCTAACTGTAACCCCAAAAAAACATTGAACAGAGTCAATTTAAATTTGGCATCTCTTTTGTCAGTATTAGGACAACACTATTAGATAAAGGGGAGGGGGCGGGACGGGATAAAGTTAAACTGGTTACACTCATGTTGGTCTTGTCACTGCTGGCAGAGGACACACTCCATCTTTTGGCAGCTTTGGCTTCAACTGGTGGAGACTCTCTATCCTTGTCTGCATTGTGAATCTTCCTGTTCAGGTCCTGAAACATGTCCTGGTGGCGTTTCCGGGTGTGCATAATTTTCTACACAGGAACATGGGACGTTACGCACAAAGCAAAGAGCAAAGCCCAGTGTAAGTTGTAAAAACACTAAAGTCAAACTGTTAATCTGGATCCTACTCTAAAGGATCATTTCTATGGTCTGAAGGAATCAAAAAGACTAAAATTACCTCAAAGTCAAGCTCTGCATAGCGTGATTTTCGTCTCTGGGGGGGGAAGATAAGACAGAGATTAAAGACGTGTCCTTATCTGTTTTTCTGTCTTATGTGTTTCAGTGTGCGTCTTCTCTCTGAGTGGGACACAAATGTGGGTGGACACCAGGTTTGATGCCGCTCATTGTGACCCTGTTGGCACAAGTTCGCCGTAAACAGATTGCAGTCTAATGACCTTTTTCTTCCCCTGTCACAGAGTGATGAAGGAAAACCTGACCTTCAGGCTGCTCAGGAGCTGTGTCAGCTGCTGCCTCGCATGGCATTATGGGATTGTGTTTTGCCCTGAAGTGAAAAGACACCAGCAGGCAGATGTCTACACCACTGTGTGCTGATCACTGCCATCTTAACTGTCTAGGCTTGGGCGATGAGGGATAACGTAACCTTTTTAAAGATGCTATCTCCAAATGTGGCCAGCAAATGCAGGACAGCATCGCGTGATGCTGTTCGCCGCAAACAAATCACTTCCCCAGCTCTATGTAAGGTTACACTTCTAATTGTTTTTACATTTTCTATGTATGAATGGCTGCATCCATGCAAACTCATAGGTGACCAAAATAAAAAATTAATGGTATTTGTATAGAGAGAGTGACAAGAATGAAATCTATAATGAGTAAGAATTGGTGTTTTACCACAGTTGTCAAACAGACTCTTCAGTTTATCTCTTAAATGATTTCATACCTATTCTACATGAAATTGTGGCCTAATACGTCAGGCATCTGTTAGTCAACACAATGTTGTGTTTTTTTTTACAAGATACATTCATATACTGGATTTATGCATTAATGCTGCAAAAATAAAACAGAACTATAGTACAAAGATATAAAACTGATAAAAAAAACTCCTCTGATTCACTTAATGTTCTTTTTTACCCAGAATAAATCACAAGCTGATATATTTTTGAAACGAAAGCCTTTTTAGAGAAAACAGGTTGCATATGTTTATGTTCAACATTAATTATTTACTCAATACAATTGTAAAAATGTCAACAGTTGTACTGATTCAGCTGTTGTCATGACAGTTCTTTAAACACAGTTCATCAAGAAAACCGTCGACATCATCTGTTAAAGGATTCAACCACAAATTAGAAGAACATATTCACCCCTTTTTTATAAAACACCATTAATGTGCCAGTTTTAAGAATATATGACAAGTGATAGCAGTACAAAATAAAATGTTACATATGCAAATCATATTTTAAATATGAAGTATGAGGCTGACGATGCTTTGCTGTGACAATAGCATGGTAAGTAGTTTCAGAGGTGTCTTACCTCCAGCGAGCTCATGGACAGCGTGGACACCGTCTCACCCTTGGACTTTCCGGACTCTCCTCCGTCACACATGGTGCTGCCCACCTGTGAGTCTCTGGGCATGGTCTTGCTCAGGTTGGGTGCAGGTGAGTCTCTATCAGAGCAGGACACACTGACCTGGTCGGCAGGAAGGGTCTTCAGCCCAAAGCCAGGCACCGGCTCTGCACCGGCGGGGTTGGCGAGGTGGATGAGTCTGGTCTGTGGCAGCTGCTCGATGCTAATGTTATATTTGGCCCCCTGGTCATCCTTCACTTTTGCTGGCTTTAGAGTGCCGGTGCCGTTGGTTGGCAGGATGACGTATCCAGGACCTTTGCCAGTGCCCTCAGAGCTGCTGCCCTCACCATTCCCTCGAGGCAGTTCCCCGTCCAGCTGCTTGAAGAGATCGCCATCGCAGATGTAGATGGACTTGGCACCTGGTAGCTCCGTGCTAATGCCCTTTGCGGCTCCTTTCTCTCTGCGCAGCGTCAGCGTGTGACAGTTGTAGTCAGCGACATTCTGAAGGTGAACCTTGGCCATGCTGGCTGGCATGGTGTTGAAATTAGAAGAACCTTTCTGAAGGGTGTGTGTTCCTGCAGAGATCTTCTCCTCCCCCTGAAGCGAAGAGCGCTTTGCAGTGCCTGTAGTGAGGGGAACAGGAAACCAGTTAGAAAGTTCTACAACCTATACAAGAACTCGAGTTGTAAATCTTGTAAAAAATCTCAGTTGTGTAAATAAAGTAGAAAAAAAGTATGATAACATGTTTAAAAAAATGCCATTGTGTTGTTGAGATAAAAATCTGGAAGCTATTGATTACAACTAAAACACAATTTTGAAGCAGGTGGAGAAACTGTTGGTGTTTTTTTACACTCATGTACTTCTCTGCCACACAGACTTTGGTATGAAGTATTTCAAGACATCTCTCTGTACCATATGATATTTCTAAAAACAAAAAAATGTCTTTTTGATATTCCCACAGACAACATACAGCAACAAAATCTGCACACTTTGCTTCTAGTCAGTATTTTTTTAATCTGATAGAGATAAATGACTGAGAAAAATAACAATGATAAAAGAGTGTTAAACACCTTGTCAACGTTTTGTCCAACCCTTTTTAAAAACATCAATACATTAGCCTTGTCCGCCCATAAATGGTGGACAAGTCCTCATTTAAGACCAAAGTTTGTCTTCACAGTGTTCCTATTCAATCCCAACTGGACATTGATGCTGTCAGGGTTCCGCCTTTTAATGACAAAATGTAAGAAAGTGATACATTCTTTTCTCCCTCCTTTTTCTCAACGGGGCATGTTTGTTTAGAAAGAGTTTTTCTGCTTCAAATGCTCCACTTGATATCCTGCCTCATGAGATAATCAGATTTTTTTTTTCTCCAAGCAGATATCAGAGCAGAGCCAGCATCTGATACAGCCCTGTCGTGAGGGACTTAATTATGCAGCCGCAGTGTAGTAGAGACTCTGACAGCCCTATTTATCTGCCTATAACTGATCCACACACGCTCATCCCATTCCCATCAGCCTGGGCGACTGTGTTACAGCAGTTGTACTGCGCTGTATTTTTGTCAAAACAACTCCTCGGTGAAAGCGGGCGGCTGTGATGTTGATTGTACGACAAGAGCAAAGAACTAAGGGAGAACATGCCTCACATCTGTTAGGGAAACACTAAGGAAACTGAAGAGGAGGCGGAAAACAGGGGGATATGAAAAGAGTTGAGCAGCAGTCCCCGAGGTCACACAAACGCATACACTAAAATTAAACGTATTTATCCTGGGGCTTTACCTGATCTGCAAGCCATGTCAACGTCTTTTTCAAAGTCAGTCTGGAAAGAGAAAAGCAAATATAAAGTGAGCCTACCACAACAACTACTCTGCTACATCTGATATTAAAACAAACAAAACTACACTGAATCAGTAAATACCAAATACGGAACACACTTATCCATACCATGAGCTGAGCGTGGCCATTTTGGAAAGAGCCGCCTGAGTCTCCGTTTGTGTCCTCTTGGCGATCTACAACACGACACTTCACTGCCTCCTGAACCTGCAACAGAGCAGGAACAAAGCTCATGACCTAAAAACTCAAGTTTATTTTCCTGACATTTATACTAAATTAAATTAAATTTATTACTGATTTATCAGATAAAATATGTTCAAAATGTGGTGCAGGGGCCAGTTGTGGCACACACACAGTTTTCATGCGCCTCATAATTCCCCCCAACAAGAAAAGTAACCTTTCTTATTTTGAATTTATTAAGTTCTTTTAATGGTTAATACATTCATTTTAGAAACCTGGCAAAAGTTTAGTTAAGTTTGTAAAAAGATACTTTTTAACCAGGGTAAATACTGGAAATTGGGTTTTTTTTGCACTTAGTTCTATTGATTTTTTTTTTATTGTTTTGTCTTGTTTTTTACAGAAAGTGATATAAAAAAGGGAACATTCTTAATATATTTTGCTGAAAGTCTTCATTAAAGTTCAGAAACACTTTCTTTCACTCTTGTATCTTTATAAAAGTGCAGCTACAGGATGTGTCCAGAAAGGTACAGATGTCATAACAAACAGCGACAAATACAAATAAGCTATCTCTGGGATACCTCTCTGCGGAGGATGCAGTGCACCATGACGATGACAAAACCTTCGAGTGAATCAAAGACTGCGAAGAGGATTTGGAAGAGCGCAGAGCGTCGATCAGTGATGGCCAGGACGGCTGACATCCAGGTGAGGGCAAGGAGAGGCAAAACTACACAGGAGCTCCACAGTGATGCCCTATAGATAAAAAAGTTATGGACAGTTAGGGACACCAGTGTTAAAACTTGACAAAGGGTAAAACCAACGGCTATTCTAATATTTATGCTGAAAAAGATTATTGTATGTTTCACTTAATCACAAAACTAAAGCAATCGTCTACTGTATGCCATCATACAGAAGAAAATCAACTGGATTTAATTGTAGCATTAAAAAACACAGTCTCCTACACATGTCTTTGATAACTGTCCTTTCTAACTGTGCAGAAATACATAGCATCACAACAAAATTTATTTTACTGCCACATACAAAAACATACATCCATTATCTGCAGATATATATGCTCAGAGATCACATATATTACATGCATGTATGTTTAAGATGGTTCAGTCAAACTATAGAAGGTGATCAGCGGGGGAAAAACAAGTGTAATGAGGCTGGAAAAAGAAAACACAGACAAAAAAAGGAGGCAAAAGAGGAGGGGACAGAAAAAAAAAGAAAGAAAAAAAAAAAAAAAAAAATTCCCCCCCCCCCCCCCCCCCCCGCCCACAGTGATGTTTTCTAGCATCTTTTTACTGACTGCCAAAGGTGTCATACATTTAGTTTATAATATAGATAGATTTTGTATGGAAATAGCCTGGGTTACTAACCCAAACAGAAACCAATAAAGTTATGATAGGAAATTGTAAATGAACAAAAAACTGAATCTTAATCTTTTATGCATTTCATGTCCATCCTTGAATCAAAAGCATAAAACCTGAAGAATGCTGTTCAGATCACATCGCCCGGAGCAGTGGTTGTTCCATAACAGTTTTAGCTTAGCTTGCAGTTCGCCATAAAATCAGTGGCTGAGAAATATCACATCAAATCACTACCACTAAATACCACTCAATTTTCACAGAGGCATTGGATTTTTTTTTCCCATTAACAATGTAAAGAGTTTGACCGTAGACCTACAAATTTTCACAATGGCAATAAGTGCTCTCAAACCATCCAATAGTGACAAGTACCGACAGGTTAAATGAACAAGTGATCATACAGTCACCCCCACCTGCTACTGACAAGCTCTAGGGAACGACTAGCTGTTGTTCAGCTAATGGTTGTATGTANATATATTCCCCTCACAGTCTGCTGAGATGTTTTAGTGCAAACATAAATCAGGCATATAATGGCTGAGAGAGAATGAAAGAAAAACCTTGGATGCATTTATGATGTGCAATTAGGGCTAATATTGCTAGATGCTTTATAATCATGTCTATAGATATGTTCTGTTTATAAATAAAAAATAATATATGGTGGCCTTCAGGAGACATTAACTTCCTGTCTAATACAAGAGCTCATTCTAAAGGTATCATAACACGTGGTTAGCAATAGTCAAGAATGCTATCAATGCTCGACATGTTGCTTTTCATCCTTAATTTCACTTTAAACTTTGAATTTAAACCTCATAGCCATGAGAGAGATGAAATAACAATGTGTACAAAATAAAAAATATATATATTGTGTTTGATTAGAACAATTCCTAGACTGGTGTAAAGAGAAACATCTGCAATCTTAGCAAAACAAATACAGTTAGCAATTGTCACATGACAATTATACCAAATTAACAATGAAAATGGTTGGTATTATTAAAAGCCCAACTTAGATATCTGTAGTATTTTGGAAAAAAAATAAAGGCTTAATTTAGACTGGCAACAGGTCCATGATTGAACACCTCACCAACACTCAGTTCTTTTCTGTCCTGAACCACCCTCATGTACTTTTCTGCCACTTCAGAGTTCTACACTTTCTCTTCTGGAAACCTATCAAATTCTTTCAATTCATTCACAAATAAACCACAGAGCTTCTCTTGATGCCCTGAATTTAAACCCATAATAGTACAAAAATAAATAAATAAAAATAAAATACTAATTATTATAGTAATAATAATAATAATAATAATAATGACATGTAAAACAATGATATAGTGATTGGTCTGCAGATAATGACAATATAATCACTTTAGGTTGTTATGATTTAAACGTGTTCTAGTGCTTCTGTGTGGAAAGCAATTTGATGTTTAAGTCCAAGTCTTAAAATTATCATATTTTGTATCACAATATAAGAATAGAAAACAGAAGCCCAGGCTAGAAATAACACAAGCCTTACATTTGGCACCACACTCCCTGTCAGGGCATCAAGGAACAGAACGATAAGGGAGAGAAAAATAAAAGTACCAGAACCAATAAAGGCAGGAAGGGAGGGAGAGAGGGAGAGCGGGAGTGCAGAGAGGGAGAAGAAAGGCAGGGCAAGATAAGAATAGTTAAGGAAAAAATAATTAGCGGGACTAACATGGCGTTACTGGTAGCTGTGGTGGAAACGTCAGCCGAAGAGATAACTCCGCACTTGGCACATTTGAGCGTCATATTGTACAGTGGCACTGTCATCTGACTGCAAAGTCAAATTAACACGCTGTAACATACACAAACAGATACAAATGCACCTATACACAGACTCACTGAGATGTATGTGCACACCAGGACGCACAGACAGTCACAACAAACACAGAAGGTCACGTGGTCTCACACAATCTCTCTCTCTCTCAGGGCTACTGTCCACATCCATGGCTGTTGCAGCTTTCTGGGGTTTGCTCTTGTCTAATTCAGGGAACGGGAGTGAGGAAGCTACGTTGGGGCTATCATTGGATGATTCATGGGCATATTGTTGAATTCTGGTCAAATTACTTTTTTGGTCTACCATGTCTTGAATGGGTGTGCAATTATATTTGTGTGCATTGTGCCACTTGTCCTATTTTTCTTTTTTTTTTATTCAGGACACATGTCCAAAATATTGTAATAATAATAAAGTCTGACTAATTTTAACTGAACAAGGTATGATGCATCCTGATTGGTTCATTTTTAATCCTGTCTCTCCTTGTCACTACCGGGGAAAATGTCAACACTTCAAATCTGCAACTTTAGGCAGTGCCACCTTTCCAACCCTACATCACAGCACGCCCTGCTGCCATCTTGTATCATCCTGCTATCATCATTTTTTTTTAAACATCAACTCTGACACTTGTCTCCACCCACACTCTCTTCTTCACTCCACCTCTATTGCGCAATGGTCTACCCATTTACTGTACCCATCCTTTGCGTTGCTCCTGTTTCATAACATTAGAAGTGACGAAACAATATTCACTAAGTTTGGAGGACAGGAAAGTTAGGGTGAAAAAATGGGACAGTGAATAATGTTCGGATGAATTGTTTCTATAAATGAAGCAAAAAATAACAATGAGTTAGTTAAATAATAAATACCACTCAGTAAAAACAAAACGGAAACTAGAACTTTGATTGTTTAAGCCCAATCATGGTTTCATGTCTGCTCTTAAATAAATGGCAAAACACTAAAACTGTAGGAAATATAGCTATATTTCAAAATGATCAAAGACAAAAAAAAAACACCTCTAAAATGTATTTTAGACAAAGGAGAAACTCCCAGCATTCCCAAGAACAAAGGTCCTAGAAAGTAGTATGAAACATGTGACATCAGATAAGCCCATTTCGAGCGCTGAAATTGTAAGCTGACTTTTTTAGTTTAATATTTAATTACAGTGCCTTACATTCAGCTACAGCATGCCTAACAATTAGCAGGCGTTTACTGTTCCATGCTCATTATTTTACAAAAACGCTTTGTTGTCAGAAGCAACAGTTTTTCTTTTCTTAATTTGCAAATGTGTGGGACTTAAAACAGTGAAAAACAACCCCTGACATTTGTTTTTTACACTCTTAACACATTATTACTTATTAATCCATGTAGGGAACAAGTACTGTGAACAGATGACAGCAGTTTCTGTTACAGTCCTTCTGAGAAATGCTGAAATATTTGTCTTTCTAAACTCCTCTGTTACCTGCAGTAACTCAGTGTGATACCTCATTGTCTGCCCCTAGTCAGTGATTCTCCTAAATGACACTTAACTGGACCCAATGATGATGACTGCAAGCTGTCGGCTCCATTAGGCTGTTAACGGTTCCACAGTGTGAGAGCGACTGTCCCTTCGCAGTTTACCTCTGCATGACTTAAAGAATCTACCTGTGCCTGTGCTCAGCATGTCTCCCAGTTTGACACCAGTCCACCAAAGACAACTTTCATAAACAATCAGGGATCCATTTATGAATCGACCTATTCATATGTTTGGAGATGGACTAAAAAGTGGAAAATATTGACAACTTACAAACCCGACTCCCACTGAGCAACAAATATAGCTAAAGCAGACCGGAATCGATTTTTGTAGCCTCTGGATGCTTAGATTAAAAAAAAAAAAAAAAAAAAAACTATAATGGAAGAAATTCAATTTGGAGTTAAAGGCCAATACAGCTGCTAAATGTACACCGTAGGCAATGATATTAAAAAGCAATCAACACCTCTGATGTAGTGTTGTAATCTGGAATTTGAAGGTTAGGAAAAAAAAACAATGGTAAGAGGAACATTAATGGGGTGAAAATGACATTGATTGGCTCACTTCCAGTAATGTCAAAAATATTCTTCTTGTCCACAGTCAACAGCAAAAACTTTTCTCTCAACCATTTATTTAATTTAATATATGAATAGTTAATACCACAAAAATACCACCTGTTTAACTAATTCACTGAGCTAAAGTAACTAATCACTGTCAGAATTAAACCATTGTTGCCTTCAATGTCCTAGAAAAATAGACAAATGGGCCAGAATGTGGCAGTGATGTCACTTATTTGAGACCTAAGTGGCAAATGTTTGGACAGTTGCACTGACTAATAAAGAGAATTCCATTTTGCATTAAGCAGTGATGATACATATGACTAAAACCGAACACAGAACACAGGAGAACACAGGTTTGGGCTAGCTCACTTTCATTATGCAATACTTTAATTGTTAGCCGAAGATCGTTAAACAAATACTGGCCTGATCTCATAAGAAAGCAGTTCTGCCCAGTGTTATGTGAGGTGGCTGACAGGGATGGTATACATCTGGTCAAAGGATAAGTCCTGCCATTTGAGCATTCTAGCTAAAAAGGCTGGCAAAACTGAAGGGGCATCTCCAGCCACTCCTCTTTTCTTTGTTCCCTCCTTCAACACAGTTGATTTTGCCCTAAATGTCAAAATGCATCAAAATTGCTAGAGAAACAACCACCAATGTACAACATCATAACATCTCTGCTCTGGTCCTGCAGGTGTTTTACTACACTGCTACTGATTCATCTTCTCTGGAAACCACAGCAGACTGCCGTGAAGCAGACAGCGAAAGACCAAGAGACACGATGGTCTTCAAGGTTAATAAGACGGAGGAGACACTAGAGTTTCGGTTAATAAGACGGAGGAGACACTAGAGACTGATGCACATCGAGGTTTTCTGTCTGTTATAAGCTGCACCAAACTAGAAAATGAGAGAGAAGAAGTTTACGCCATTCAAGCCGTTCTCCCTCCTGAGGTTTTTTAACTCTTATTGTGATCAGGAGGATAATCATTTTGTCTCACTGTAATTGTCCACATGAAGGAAGAGGGCAGTGAAAAGACCTTGAGTGATTTATGAAGGCCTGAACAATTTAAATACTATGTACCAGTTTCATTTTTTTTTTTATTTCTAGTCTAAGTGCATTCCCTGTAACTCTTTTCTTCCTAAAAAATCAACACACGCCCTGTCAACATGCTGGCCTTTGACTTTTGAACAACTCTAATTTACTAACTATTAACCACACAACCAGTAACCAAAAACGATCGAAAACCTAACGTAAAATAATGGCGTTAGTAGAAATAAGGTAATCAGGTACAAACAGATATAAACCAGCTCACTTGTTCCTCAAACAAACCTTTCTTCACAAATACACTGAGGAAGTACCGAAATAGCTAAAAGGGGCTTTCTCTATCAGAAACAGTGTTTCGATGATTTGTCTAACAGAGAGTAGTATTAATTACCAGGTTAGTAGTACTATAGTAAAGTAATGATTAATATAGCTAACTATGAGGAAGCCAATAGGAGAAGTTCAGTAGGTTTGGTGATGGACAGGGCTCGTAGCCATACATTAGAAAGAAGAAGAAAAAAAAAAACAGGTGGGATGGGCAGGTTTGTTTTACCCAATCACTGATGACATGGGAGGGGGCTTCTGAGACTGATGTTTTCCTGATTGGAGAGCCCTGAGTGAGAGAGAGGGGATTCTGTGCAAACTCAAACATGACATTTCAGACAGGTACAGTCAAACAGAGAAATCAGTGGTGAGAAGCAAACATTTTCTTCAAAGTGGGGGAAAAAAAACCAACATCTCAAACGTAAACTGACTACACCGATGGAGACAAAACAAAACAGCCTGCAGTGAAGAGGGAAGCAGGGTGAACGTCTGAGCTGTTCCTTAAAGCTGATAATAATTTTAAGGCTTAAGTTACTGGGTCACAGTGATGGGGAAAAAATATAGTGCCTCCCAAAAATAGAATTAAAAAATACTAGGAAATAATAAAGTGGAAAATTACATGAAGATAAATAACAGAAAAGATCAATTCAATCAAACATATTTATACTGAAAGCAGTCACAGTAGTTTTTTTCTTTAAATCTATTCATTTCCAAGTATTTGTGTATAATTAATTTTAACATCCACATTTAAAAGTGTTATTAATGTGTTTGGTCTGGTGTCTGTGTCCAAACCCAGGGGGTGAGGGCCCTTAAAATGTCTTGTTAAAAAAACTTTCCACAAACAAAATTTCCACGTTACTTTTGTGTAGTCATCTACATAATTAAAAGTACAACTTCACTTGAATATTCATTTTTCACATGAACTGCATTGAAGCAGTCTTTCAGATGAGGCACAGACAAGCTACGATCTACATTAGAGATTTTAAAACCCTCACTGTAGTATGAACTATCACTGACATATAGTGTGGTCTACTGGCATTTACATTGAAATAAATATATGTTTTTTGCAAAAAAGTTGAGAGAGCAGGTACCATATCCTACTTTAGGTGAGAATGTGTGACAAACCATCAAAGCAGCTACTGAAGTAAAGGACCGTTAACCTGCCTGCCACATTTAGTTAAACATTAGTTTGTCTCTAACACTGCATTATCGATGCAACTACACTGACTACACTACAACGTTAAAGCCTGACCTGTGCTAAGAGGTTGTTCGATTATCTCAGGCCCTGATTTGGTTTGTACTGTAGAAAAATCAGTTGAAAGTTGGTTTGTTTGCACAATCAAATCCAAGTGTCAGTGCGGTCATACCCTGATTCCCTCCACTTCACAACAAAATCAGCTTAACTAAAAGAGACAGATGGATTTAGAGAGCGTTACACCGACAGCAACACCTACAAAGAAAGAGCGGGAGAAAAAGGCAACATACTCACAACTCAAAGGAAAAGCAATGAAATGAGTCATCCTGCTCAGTCTGTGAAGGACCAATAACCAGACACCCTTCCCCATGTTTTCTTGCTGCCCTCCATTTATCTCTAATTCTGCAGCATCAATCATAGTCCAGACTATATGAGAAAACACACTGTCATTTGGTCCTTATCTCGTTCTTGATTAATTCTGCCACATTCTTCTTTCTTATCATTTTCTCTTGGAGTAAGAAATGAAATGCCATCATCAGCCATTTTGGCAAAGTCTTGAGTGAATTCCTCAGGCTACGTTTAAGTAATTAGGCAATAAATGCACTTGTCCCTCCCCGCGGCTGTCAGGCTGGTTATAGGTCACTGTGTGAAAATGGATGTGTGGTATAAGGCATACCCCGCCCTCTCCTTTAGTTTCATATCAGTTATGCCGTCTTTGGAGACCAGTTTGTTAAAAACGAGAATCCCAATAACCATGTTAACCTGTGAAAGAGAAGAAGGAGAGGGTTAAAGCAGAGCAGCCACACTTTCATCACTTCAGAACATGCACTGACTGATGCACACATACTGTGAAGACTGACACGCATGTCTTTGTGATCCCGACGAACGTCATCATCCATCAGGATTGCAAAGACATGCGTGTCAGTCACATGCGTTGTTACACACACACAGACTTTCTTCACCAGACAGGGAGGGCCAGTCATCTTAAATATATGTGACAAATCGTTATCAGTCGTCAGACGAAGCACGGCGTGTAGGAATAGTTTCCACAGATGTATCTCTAATTTGAACTTTAAAATGTCAAATGAAGACGACATATTGGAGAATTCACAATAAATATACGTTGTGTGAATTCAATAGCAGAAAAGGTACTGCAGTATCAAGGACATCCTCGCACAGTTTGTGTTCCCTTTAAGGCCTCTGAAGCTTTTCACAGAGAACATGGCCTCCAGCATGGCTGCCAACAGTAACAGTGGGTCTTCATGTGAGGTGCAGATTGTGTAAAAAAGAACATCTAAACAAGCTGTTGTGCTGTAGGTGTGAAGTGGGAAGGAAGCCCTGGGACGTGAATCAGTAAACGAGCGAACGGAGAATTCTGATCTGAAAACAAGGACAGTGTGACTGCAGCCAGGTTTCACGCCAGTGTGTTTCCAAATGCATCCTGTAGGTGGAGTATGTGGGGATAGGATCATTATTATTATTATTATTATTATTATTATTTGAACAGAAGTAAAGTACACATCAAAAAAAGCTTAAATTGTGAATACAAAAGTAACAATGACACATGGGAGTTTCCTGCTTATTAGACTAAATCACTTTAAATTAAATACTTAATTTAAACTTTTGATATATTTAAAAATGGTTATGGTTATGTAAATAGAGTTTGATTTTCAATTGATTTAATGTCACATATGGAGAGAAGTTTAGTCCCAAAAGGAACTTTCTTTAGTCTACTCTGCTGCTGTATGGGCTTTAAGCATTAATGCTAATTGGTAATGACAATAAATTAGGACTTTTAACTGTTGTACATTATATTTTAGTCAAAACAATATAGAGTGATGCAGTTGAAAAACAAAGAAGGCAGAAAAGCCACATAAAACATCAAGCAGACAGAGACCCTCCCCAATAAAAACAACCCATGTGAAAGAAAACTAACACTACTTTGTGTCAAACTCTGGTATCAACACTTTTGTTGAAGTATTGTATTAAAAAAGGACAACATGTTTGCATTTGCTGAGTCTTTCTGCCAGTCAAAGTACGTGTTGATTAGCTGCACCTTTCAGCTGCACTTAATTAGTGTTAATTTGTCTCTGTAAACTAGCCTTAATATTATGATCTTCTTCAACAGCTTTTTTTGGTAAATTTAGCAATCTAATGTCACCTAGTGAAGAAATATTGGACTGTTCTGCGTTTCCTGCCTGCATAGACTGACAAGGAAATATTATTTTCAGTAAATAAATAAATGAAGTCGAATGATTTTTCACGGCACACTGGTCTGCCAGAACACAGTGGTTTGGAATCACTGGGCTCCAGTCATTTGTTTTATATCAGTATTTCAGGTAATTATAATTTCATCAGTTTGCTGTGATGCACTTGGCCATATTCAGATAAGTAATTGGATTTTACAGTCTTCACGTTACAGCAGTCCATGCATTGAGCATCTGTCCAATACTGACAATGGTGCCACATGGTTTCATGCAGTGTTGTTAAAATGGAGCACTAAAAATAGATAAAGAGGAAATACCAAAACAACAGCTGCAGCAGGTCCAACGAAGGCATAAAGAAGACCACCTTCCAGAGAGAGCCAGCAACTAGAAGAAAGGGAGAATGAGAATATTCAGACAGAGTGGTAAGATGGGAGGCGGGGGAGGAGAAGGTGATGGAGGAAAGATGCATTAAAGGGGTGCAGGAGTGTGGGTTGGATGTATAGAATGAGGTGAAGGGTAGAGGGTCATATAAGTGACAAGAATAGAAATGTAAAAGATAGATGAGACACAGAGAGAAAGAGGTTAATTATTCTGCAAACATAAATCTTCAGCCATGCGTAACGTTGCTGCATTAAACCCTTCAGACGCAGATGTTTCCATCTTATAGAAAAGCATGCTCACTAGCTGGGAGTTCCGTATCCCTTCGCCTTGGTGAATCCAACAGAGATGGCCACCACTAGAGCCGGGAGACCTAAGAGGTGAATACAAACTGACATTAAAGGGGAAAGAAGTGAGGGTAAAAATGAGACACAACGATGAATAGACAAGACGCCCACCCCAGCCCAGACACAGGAAACGCTTCCGTATGATGCGATTCCTGAGTCTGCCCGTCACTGCCATGTAGGACTGCCATGCTTCTGTTAAAACCCAGCAGAACGACGACAAGAAGAAGAAATGCAGGAAGGCAGCAATCAGAGTGCACAAGACCTGGAAGGCCAGACGGAAAAAGAAAATACAAGAATTATAATGAAAATTCAACCAAAAAATTGGACCAAGTTGACTCTTTTTTTTAGATTTGTTTTTTACCTTATTTCTAGTTTGTGTCTGACCAATGAGAATTAGAGCGTTGGAGGAGATGATGGAGAGGCAGAAGTTGATGAGGATGACTGAGCGTTCAGATCGTATGTACCTGTAGGAACACACAAGGGGAGATGTTTTTTTAGATGTTCTGGCAGGAACTGTTAATTTTGGGCTAATCTGTAGATCTTTGAGAAGGTCTGAGTCTGTTGTGAATTTGTAGTCATATAACAGGAGGAAACCTTTTTTATTAGTCTTAATTTTATAGTCTTGATTTTAGGTTTTCAAGAGGAGCTAGTGATGTAAAAGAAAAATAAGGGGATTATTTAAAATCCCTTTTTTTTTTACTTTTTTTTTCCTTACAAATTTAAATAAATACACCAATATGACAACTTAAACCAATTAGCTACTTGTTTTCATGTTGACATGAAACTGTACTGTGAAAATTTGTGGGTCTATTATTTATTTAAAATTGTTCATTCTTTGCTCACTAAATTAAGGCAACGTCTCCTTTTGATTAAACCATCTGTTCCTTTTATGGCTGAACACGGGCTCCTGTGTCCAGTCAAGGTCAGTAGTCATCTCCTTAAACCCCTTCACTCCTGATATATTTTATTACAGTGTGGAGGAAAAAAATTACATTTTCCATAATAATTTTGGGATTAATCTTGTAACTTTTTACCCTGAATTTTGAATAATCTCGTTTTCCTGTTCAGAATTAAATAATGAATAATGAGAATAAAGCAACCTTTTATTCTGAAAGTATGTTAAATGGTTGCCAAAAACCATAAAAACATAGGTGCTTTTTAAAAGATGTATTCCCTGATACTGTAGCTGTAAAAAATACCCTCAAAGACCAATTAAAGCTTTCATGGGCAGAATAAAAATCATACTTAAAATTAATTCTTTACATGTATAAATAATATTCTGCCTCAAGGCTCAGGAATTTTGTTGAGAGAAAGCTTTTCTCTGTATGCATGTGGCCTTAATATGTCTCACGTAAATATATTTACAGTCTCAAGGTATTTTTTATAAGTGTGGTTAATGTGATTCAGTGATAGTGTGTACACTGTTAACAACGTAATATGGTACAATTTGGTCCAAATTTTTACAGAAAATCAATTGTGAGTTATTACTGCTGACATTTAAAGCTCAGTCTGACCTTGCCACAAGTTATTTCACTGAACTTTTTAATAGAAAAGTTCACTCTCCCTAAAAATTCCTGGTGCCCCTTGGCTGGTTATTCTAAATGTAAAGGTTACACAGATCTGCAAAAACGAATCACTAGTAACACAGACGTGTGTGGCAAATATCGGAGGGAAATAATATCATGTGACAACAGCTCAAAATAGTAATCAGGAATTCCACAACATGGTTTTTAATTACACAAATCTAATTTAGAACACTGCTTCAAAACTCTCTGACGTTTTTTCATAAGAATCGAATCATAAAAACTGGACCTCATTCTGCAGCAGTGCATGTCTACTCTACGTAAACATGGTGTGAATGTGTCTGATTGCACTAGTGACGGAGAAGATGCCCTTCGTCGTTAGCGCATCTTCTTTACAAGAGTTACACCAGATACTGAAAAAGAAAATGTTACAACGTTTAATAAAAAGTCGAACTTAAACAAATACGTCCTTGAGTAGAGCCCTGATATATCATGTCAGGTGACAGACTTGACTTCTTCTTTGGTGATAACTTTATCCAGGAGGACTCGTCCTTGGAGCTCACCCTGTACATCTGCATGTTTCCGGCAGTAATGATGCTGCGGACATGTCTTCTCCATCACTCTGAGCACATTCCTACAAGCTAGATACACTGGCCTGTCTTTTCAGACGACAAAAAGATCAGTCCTCAGGAGGAGAGTGCGACACTTCTGTGATGCTTGTCAGCAATCATCCATAACTGCTACGTGTGTCTCATTCAGCCTGACTTTGGTCGGACGAGAACACGGTCCTACAGACCCAGAGCAGGGAACATGATGGTGTATTACACCACATATTCTATGACCTAAGATCTAGTAAATTAGATGGCAGGTATGTTCCAAATATGTTGTTGTATAACAAACAAGAGTGTGTGGTTTTTTAGTGATTTGATGATATGTTTTAGACATATGTTGTATGTTTCTAATCAGTTGATGTAAGTGGAATCTATTAATAATATAAGGATGACTGATGTTTAATATATAACAACCTGCATACCTTTAGGTTTGTAAACATTTAAATATATGTTAAATGGGTTATTGCTCTTGTTTTATTTTCCTATTAATAATATTAATATTAATATTTTTTCTGAAGCGATGTACTATAAAATTAAATTTTTCTGCATTATCTCTGAGAAAAATACATGTTTTTTTAGTCTGAGTTAAAATCTCTCGGGCTAGTTTTCACCTCAAGCCTCATGCACACTGCAGTCAACAACAAAGTTATACCAAAAACATCAATCCTACCTCAAAACATCACCCGACTTGAATATTTTAAGCTTTATTTAGAACAGAAAAACAAATGTCCTTCATATTTTACTGGTTTTCACAGAATTACTCATTTCCATCTGTCATTTATGTTTTCCCCAAAATTAATTTTCAGTCATATTCAACCTGCAGAAGGCTTGAGAGGAACAATTATACCTTCATCGTCCAAAAGTTGGATGCAGTATTGAAAGACTGTACTTAAGGGCTTTAAAAAACAAGCTGAAAAACATCATAAAATTAACTTTTTTTTTTCTTGAATTAGTCACTGTTGTAGCATTTAGAATTTCCAAAAGCCTTTTATCATTTTGTTATTTTGGAACTGGAGCCGAAAAGCACGCGTAAACAAAATCACTTCCTGTTTGTGATGAGTGAACAGAACAGACACAAGTGATTTAAGAGAGTCTTCGAGAGTCAGAAGTGCTTTGGCAGCAGCACAGTTGTTTTCAACTCACACTTTTAGTCAAGAACCTGGAAACGATCTTCCCTCTTTTTACAGGAGTTCTTCTGGAATATACTAATCTCAGCACTTTTAATTATTATTACACAAAACCCAATCTAGGTGTATTGTTTTTCCAATGTGTCAGTGACTCACCTCCACACGGACATGTAGATGATGATGAGCAGCAGCAACGTCAGTGAAGACACTCCGCAGCCCACAATCAGAGTCACAGAAGGTAGCTGTGTCTTATCCATGTTCTGGAAAACAGAATTTAAAAAAGTCATCAGGATCATGTGAAGTGATTACATACGTACACACCGACACACAGAACACAAGACCTTTACTTCTGAACAGGTCATTCTTCAGCCAGTGCCAGGGCCAGACACAAAACGGCCGACCTTTCACTGTGACACCATCACTGCCATGATACTTGTATTATAATAATAAGAGGAGCAGATGTGCAGGTCATAAACTGAAAATCTACAGTACTTGTTGTCGACTTTGTCAACATTCTAAAGCATGCCCTAAAGCCCTAAACTAGGAGACTTTACCACCCATTTGTCTGCAGCGCTTGGACAATCTTGGTGTTTGTTTTCTTTATAGAATTTTATTCCTTTATTGTTTTTGCTGAATGGCCTTAAAAGAAAGGTGAAAGATGAGGACACATTGATATTCACCTCTGAAACACATGCAAATTCATACATTTGCTTGTTTGTTTCACTGATAACAACTGAAATAACCTTGGCCAAAGTGGTATGTGGTCTTTGTCCTCACAGTCTGGAGTGTGAGGAGTCTGAGTTACTGTCTTGTTTATTAAAGAGAATGTGCGGGCAATTGTAGATTGCAGTATATATTATCTCATCATTTAATAATCAACAGGTAATAGGTATAGCTAATAGAACTGGAATTGGAATCCTTATCAATTCCCATCCTATGGCACTGCATTCCTCTGGTGTTTCTGGATGAGCTCAACAGGTGACCATTATCAGCTTCTCTGATAGGTGTGAATGGATTCATATGGAGGTGTGATTACAGGAGCTGTGATGTCAAGGTAAACTGAATCTTCTGAGTTTTCACATGACAATGCATCACCTTTAGCAAAAAAAAAAAAAAAAAACTTTAAATAAATATGTATGTCATATTATTCACCATCCATATATAAATAATAAAAATAATTAATGTAAATAAATAATACACAAATAATGTGCATGATTCCAAAACATGTAAATTTTTATGGTCCATGGCACGATTTTTGCCACTTTTTTTTAAAGTCAGTGTCTGTGTTTAAAAGTCTGGCGGCTCTTGGGTTTGAAGTAGTAAAAAAAAGTTAAGGCGTGGTGAAAGTTAAAAAAAGGATAAGACCATACAGTTGGTTTGGGTGAAAGGTTAGTGGGCATACGGTGGATCCTTCCACCGTTCTCCATAGGAAATAATTGGCTGAGTTTATAGCCTGTCTTGTCTCCAGGTTTGAAGCGTGCCAGGTCCAAGTTAATTAAATCCCTCTGATAAAGCTGCACTGCAGCAAATCCCAACTCTTAAAGCAAAGCAGGGAGAGGAAAAAGATTAAGAGTGCATTGGAATGGAAAGACGTCTGCTGAGATGGACAAATTTTTACCTCCTTCTCAGCCAATGACAAAGCTTAACTTGATGTCTCATGCAGTGTCAAAACACGGACGCCACCACCCAGTGATGAAGTGACCAGATTGAGTTATTCCACATGAGTAGAGGCAACAAATGTTCCAGCTACACTACAGAGAAGCTGTATGCAATTCTCTGCAGAAATACATCACATAAAGCTGCTGTCAATATCTGCAGTAAACAGATATGACTACAATCTGCTGCGGTGTTCGCTGTGAAAGAGTTGAATCAATGGTGAAACTACTGATTCAAATATCAATTAAAGAAATGTTGTTAGTGTTTCCACAGTGGAGCTAAGTGAGGCACAATTAATCTGTCAAATAAAATATAACAAAATAATAGAAAATTTGCACGACACTTGCAATGTCATGTCTGTCTGTTTCCGTGTTTTCCTGTGTTCTTTGTGGGGTAATCATGGGATCACACTCACCTGTTTGGTAATTAGCTTCACTTGTGTCACCTGGTGTTCCCTGTGTATATATACCCCTCTCCCTCACTCTGTCGGTGTTGGATCATTGTGATTGTGTTAGATCTTCGTGTTCGTGAGTTTCCTACTCTGTGTTTTCCTCGAGAATTCCATGCCTGTTAGTTCTTCGTGTTTTGTTAATTTGGACTTTGTTAATAAAACTTCCTGCACCAGAAAGAGTCTCTCCAGTACTGCATTTGGGTCCTGCCTGCTCCCTGCGATGCTCGCACATGACATGCAAACCTTTCACTTTCCTTTTTGTTTTGTTTTTGTCAGTTTCAGATTTCCTTTGTCTCCAGTTAGGAAACTTTATGTTCCTGACAGGAGAAAATAGATGAAAAGGTGTGTCGGTCATAGTAACCACTTAATGGTTTTGGCCTTTAATCTTAGAAGTATTTGTGGTTTTAAAATGCTTAAAACCAGATGTTGTTTGTAGCTGGATCTTTCATAAAAGCCTGACTTTCGTAGTACACTAACTAAAAAAAATGAACAGAGGTGAACTCCCTAATTACCATTAGGACTTTATTGTTGAAACGAGAATATTTAACATCAATGATGCACACTTTAGTTATTATCTGTTTCTGGTACAGCGATTCAAAAAATAAATACAATTATTAACTTTAAATCTAAAATCAATAAAAATAAAATTCTACCTTAGTTGGATGCATATTTTTTTGGATTAACTGCACATCTCTGTTGTTCTGCTGTTCCTACAGACATGACAGCAAAATGGGCAGATTTCAGATACTGTTGTCTGAGTTTGTCCTTGAATTTCCTTGTCTGAATGTGATCCAACATAGAAGAGGCTTCCAAGCTACAAACACTGCATTTAAAATTCCTCTGGAAATTTCGCATAACTGTGGCTGTCCTCTGACTAAATGACCAAAGAGGTTTGTCAATGTCATGTACCCCCAAAGCATTTCTCTATTTAGACTAAGACAGGATTTACAACAGCCCAAAATAGTCCAAGCCCTGGCCTGCTCTTTTATCCCTTCAACAGATAGAGGCTTGGCAGGGGCAGTAAACTGGGCTTCGACTGCTGTGCTTTTTTCCCCCCTATTTTTCCTTCTGAAAGCCTGCAGCAAAAGTTGTACTGATCAAAATGGAGGTGGCAGCGAGGGAGTAAATGATGTAGTAAGCATGGGCAGAGGGAGAGAGAGAGAAAGAGTGCTAAAATATAATGCGATCTCAGAGCATGAAAAATTGCGTGTTGAAATGACTCGGGGAAAAGAGAATAGAGAGATGAGAGGAGGAGTAGAAAGAGAGATGGCATCGATAGAGGGGGGAAAGAGAGAGAGGATGGGGTGTTTGTCATGCTGAGGATGTAGGAGGCTAGTTGCAGACAGAGGAGTTGAGCCATTTAGGAGCTTCTGTATGATGTGACCGGTGTAATTAGCATGGCAGCCATGGCTGTCTCACAAAATAATGAAAGGTGGGGGGATGGGATGGTGGCATGAGTGTGGTGAATTGCTTTTTCCTCCATTCCTGGCAAAAGAATTTTAGCAATTTAGATCCCCCTACGGATGCAAGCAGCCACCATGCACTCAGGCAACAGAGCTGCACGAAAAACACATTATTGGTTCTACTGCTATGCTAGAAAAGAGACATAAGCTACATGCTAACACCACAGACAGGCTGACAAAACGAATTTGATCCTCACACTAATAGACATTCTAAGGAGATATTTTGTGCACCAAATAGAATTAGGTGAAAATGACATATTGGCTTTCTTTTTGAATTTGGAAACTATAATTATTACAATGCGAATACTTTCATGAGCATAGACTCAATGAAAAGAATGTTTGTGCTTTATACGCTCAAGAACAACAATTTAGAGGTCACCATGTTGCAGCACAGTATGTTCTCACAGGAATCAGTCAATAATCCGTTGCTTGTGCAGCTAAGTATTGTATATTTTGATATCGATAATCATTTATGTGTATAAATTGTCATTTCTGAGTTAAGGTGACAACAGTCCCCCAGAGTCACGGTTTTGATCTCCTTAAGGTGAAAATCCATCCAGCAACTGTCCATGGATGTCACTAAAAACAGAAACAACAACCGGCTGAAATCATTTCCTGCCACTAGAGTAAAAGTAGGATTCATCCCATGGGGTTCTGTGAATGTCAAAATGACCAACACTGCCATCCTGGATGCCATATTTTTGTCATCTCAACCAGGAGGCATTGAAACACCTTTTGAAATTGTTTGATTCATTATAAAGGACAATGAAACAAAGGTTTTATGTATGCGATCAATATCACAGAGATGTAACACAAGGGTTGGCAATGCCCAATGTCATGTACTGTACAGTAGCCCACAGTACCAACAACAATGTAGTAGGACGGACTTACTATTCCCAGTAGATGTCAATGTCAGCATGGTACAGTGTTTTGTCAACTCTGCCATAGAAAATCCAAATTTGTAATGGTGACCTTTTGAAAAACACCTTCTCATGTCATAGAGTCAACAATGATATTTTAGTGACAGTTGTGTAAATTCAAAATGGAGCAAAAACATTGGAGGAAAGTTCAAATTTTTCATCAGAAGAAAACAATCTGACATCACTAACATCATCATGAGGTTTATGACCTCCAATAGAATCACTAAGACCTGTTTTTCAACATTTAGCAAACTGAGTGTGAAGTAAGAAACATTAATCGGATTCTCTTCTGACTGTGCATTATGTAAATGGAGGCAAGAAAGGATATGGTTTAGCTCACCCTTAGAAAAAAGGATTTTGAACAAGAGAGGTGTAGATGTTTTTTTTTTTTTAAATGCCTACATCGGTAGGAGCTAAAGATCTTAATCCACAGTTTAAAAGTTTGCTTTTACAGCTTTAAAAGAACCAAACAAACTTTTACCAAAAATCATTGATGTTTCAACATCATTAAAACCTATAAAATATTATATACAAGTTTTGCCTCCGATGCCACATTTCTGCATTTTTCAGGCTGAGCAATGACAGAAGGCAGCTAATACAGGCAGAAGGCTAACCTCTCACACAGGGACACATCGGCACAGAGCAGGGTTCCATATCAGGGTCATCTTGGTTTGGCAGTAGAAAAAACGTACAGCTACCGCTAATCCATTTCATATGACGTTACAGCTTGTTATTTGCTTAGTGAGTGAGTACAGCACAGAGTATTGCAGTAGTGGTATTAAAGGTCTGGGTGACAGACAGGTGAAAAGACAAGGAGGAAAAGTCAAAGTGTGCTCATTATAAAACCTGAACCAATAACAGAGCTAAACCATGTGGCTTAGGCCAGTGCCAACTCCATCCATGAATGACCTGCAAAAGGCCACCACAGGGAGATTGTCACAGCCAGGATTAACCAATTAACTCGGAGTATTCCTGCAGCAGATTTTGCAACATTATCACATTATAACTGCCACGGCTCAAGCCATTAAAGCGTACAGCTACTCTGAGCAGATAACATCACACATACAGTAGGGGGCGCGAACCACATCGGTCAAAGCACCTCATCCACAGCTTCCCCCTTGGCAAAGCTACGCAGGCGACAGTTCAAACGGCACACTGAGGTTCTATATCTTTAAGAAAACCATGGTGCCCATGCTGTTACCAGGGCAACTAGTGAACAATTTGCTTTCAAGGCAATCTCCAGTCTAATAATAACTAATAGCACTGAATGAAAATTCCCCCACAAAGACACTGCCCTTTCCTTAAAGAAACTGGGGCATGTTTAAGTCACTGGGGTTCAGCCATGATTAATGTACTGTCAATATGCAGATTTGTAAGGGAAACATTATCATGCACACGCACACACACACACACCTGCATGCAGGCTTGCAGCTCGTGTCCAGTTGCAGCTACAAACACACAAAGGAAGTGTGTCCAGAACATACTGTTAGCTCCAAGCCGCCATCATAGACATGCCTTTCTCTCGTTCTTTTTTTCTGCCTTGCTTCCAGTCCCTGTACCTCATTTAGTGAATAGAGATACATCATGTTCTGAAGGCCTGGTAGCCATGGAGACAATCAGTGACAGTCCAATATGTAAAAATATGCTAATGGAAAAATTAATTGTTGGTGTTCTGGGAAAAAACATGAAAAAATGGGGAGTGTGGGGCAGATTGGGATGGGTGTGAGCAGGTCATCCCCCCATTTTCATGTTCTAATCCCAGTCACAGTGGCCTGAGAGTCAGTGTCTGTGGCTCACTACTGACAGCAGCTGCAGACAGAGGTTAGCACAGTGCAGAAGTGTCCTTGCTGTGTGCATGGCTGTGATGCATGTCTGTTATACAGTATTAAGTCTAGGATAAGCCTAAAACAGCATTTGCCATCATGGTTTGGCATGTAGAGACAGAGGGAGGAAGAGGAGGAGGATGACAGAGGAGAAGGAGGGAGGATCTGTTGATATGTAATGACAATGACGCCCATGGAGAAAAAAAAAACAGCTGATGTATTCACAGAAAGGCAAAAAAAAAGACAAAAACCCCACGGCGTCTCAGACACTTTTAACACCGAGTGAAGGGAGGCAGAGTCGCACTTACCATTTCGGGGTTCAGCCGTGCTAAAATGGCGAAGGTGGACAGTCTGTCACACACGCATTTGGTTCTGAACGAGTCGACTAGCACGGTTTTGCAGCTCCTGCCAGACCAGGATCCCAGCAGAGAGGAGCTGCACGGGGGGAGAAAACACACGCACGCACAGGCACACGCACAAACACGCACAGGCAGAGAAAAGGAGACAGAGAAGCGATGCGGTGAATAATTAAAAAAATTAAGTCCCCGAAAATCAGAATTAAGAAAGCGCAGCTGGAATTCCACACCGCGTTACATCGGCTATTTCGTCCACTTTTCCATCTCCTCTGGATACAGGCGATAAAGCATCAGGATGAGAAGAGAACGTGGTGCTGAGGAGGGAGACGGGGAGGCGGCGAGATGCTGCTGCTGCTGCTGCTGCAGGTCCCTGCCTGGACACACAATCCTAGCACCGTGCTAACACTACCAACATCTGCCTCCACTCTGAAATAGCAACTTTTATTATTATTATTATTATTATTATTATTATTATTATTATTATTATTATTATTACAATAATTATAAAACCAAACTACACATTTCTCTATTTATATTTTAATAGTAAAAATAAGCAATACAAATATAATATTAATGGACTATATCAAAAATACATAACTGATCATTTATAACTAAAAAATACAACTTGTTATTTTTTTATGGATTCAAACTTGTTTTTATCATTAAATATTGATAACGTTTAAGTCATGACTTTTCAAAGGGTTGTCCTGAAGGAGACTGGGGTTCTTTTACACTGATATTGTGTGGTTTGAACTGAATCCTGGAGTGTTCTCCTCCTTGGTTCAGTCCATGTTAATGCAGAACATAGACAATTTGAAAACAAATGTTACCAGAGCCTGCAGTGTCCTCTGTTGTAATGTCAGTGTCTTTAGTTTTGGAAAAAATGATACAGACCTTCTACTGTTATAATAAGCAATATTCTGTGGCAAATCATTGCAACGTTTCTAAGGTCACATAATGGGAATTTTAATAATTGTGCTCTAATCCGATTTTGACGGTTTTGCATTTAAAAATACAAACCTTTCTAGTTAGAGAAATGCATCAGCCACTCGGAATAAAACTCCTGAAGCAATATTTTATTTTGAAGGATTCATTTTGTAAAGTGGACTAAAAAGGAACCCAAATTGGTTTGTGCATCAGAAGCATCAGAAGATGCTGACATACGCCTGGGAGCCATAATGAAGGGAAAAGAACGCAAACACAAGCAAATGTAGCACAATCCAATTGTCCATTACGCTCACCAACCAATTCTGTGCAAAACTTGTTTTAACATTATACGTTGGAAAGATGAAACATGACTTTATTTATAGATTTATGGGAAATGGCGACATGTTTGTTGGTTGTAAATATCTGCAAACTGAGGACTTCCTGTATTTTCTTAAATATGTTATTCCAATCTCCTTCATTTGAATATACTAGAGCTTGCCTATTAGAATCTAGCAAGTGTCATGTTGGCCCATTCATTGATGTATCAGGAACACAAAAATTAGTCTAAACACTAACAACAACAAAAAAAAAACCCAAAACTGCCTTTTGTCTACATGAGCTTTAGGTCATTTCTGTGCTTCACATACTTAACCAAAGCCATACATTTCTACTAATGAACATTGACTTGGACAGCACTAGACCTCCAGTCCAGTTTGCAACTATTACATCCCAGATAGCAGAATTGAACAGGCTAACAAGTTGTTTTAATCCTATGTTATTGTTCCTGCAGTGTTTTCTGATCACACATCACTGGCAGTTCCACAGCAAAACTCCATTTGACTCAACTGACACCAGCTGGCCATACATTAGTCTGCTTCAATGCTCAGAGAAATTAAGCAAATAAGTCACAGTGATGAAAACGCCGACAGCTGTTATGAATTAACAGCAGCCGGGGAAAGAATTCTCCTCAAACACGTTAACATCATCTTGACTGGCCTAAATTTACGTCAACTTGATTGAGCAGAGCACACTGCTGTTGAGTCAAACTTGTAGCCTGCCTGTGGAATTCAAATTCATTTGTCAGGCACTGACAATAGTGGGCACTTGGGACGTCAGTCATACCGCATTTTGAAGGGCACTTAGGAAAATCTATAGTCCGAAAGCAGGACTTCCATAAATAAAGGAAGAGCAAAGAGCAGGTTATGAATGTAAATCCTGTTGCATGTGTCGGACTTGATGATTTCGATGTCACGCCGTGTCGCAGACAACAAAGCTTAGAGGAAAATCAAAAGAATAAAGTACTTGCTTTATTAATGTTATAGTCAAATTGGTAATTTATCACAGTTGACAAAAGAAACTCTTGCAACTACACAATTGTCTTATTTATCTTTGCCATTTAAAGACAAGGCTGATAAATCTCGGGATGTTTGGACAGCAGAATCCTTAGTTGGAGGATTACATATCAACGACTAGACATCAATGCCTCATCAGATGGTATCATAAAACTCAACACATGAAATACACATCATACACTGATGTTTAAATTTGCCAACTGTAATGAATTTAAGGTTGAGGAAGAAATTAAAATAAATTTCCTCAGACAGAATCACATGACCTCTTTGTCCAGGTCTGGGAGTACAATGAATCCACAGACAGACAGGAGTCAAAACTCTAGATAGTTATATGTGATGCCAAAAGAACTTCAATAGACAAAAAACAATATCTACCATGAGTGTGAACAGCTGCATGTAATAGAGTGTTCTGCAGTTTGAGTGGTTTCCAGCAACGCAATGCTTTTTTAGTAATGAAAAAAAAAGTCCTTTGCTTCCACATTAGAAAACCCTGCGAAATGAAACAGCAACAGTACGCTTGAATAACCTGATAGGTCTTCAGATGAAGCTTTAATGCCAGTTTCAGTGACTTCATTATGACAGTGCAGTTCAACAGCTCTCTTCATGTTATGTTCTACATCAGCAGGTTTAGTAAACTCACTAACTGAAGTGGAAATAAAGCTACACGACTTTGTTACTCAAGTGTGATGGTGTAAAAACATTTAACAGAGGCAGTCAGTGAACCACTGCCGGAGCTGAAACCTCAGGAGAATGTCTGAGTTGCTGTCCGCCTCGCTATTCTTAAGCTACAGGTCTTGGTTTTAATAGTATCTTATGGCCCGATGAGCCAGAAATATGCATTATTAATGCTTATCATCATTATAATTGCAGCTAAATACGCTCATAGAAATAATTGATGAGTAATGAGTTCCTCCCACTCTAGTGTAGGAGTCTCAGAAGAACATACAGCTGAATTAAAGTGATGTTTAGTAGCTGAGAGCTACATTGTTTTTATTACGCTCAGTGTATGTGCATCTATGTGTGTGTGTGTTTACCCCAGGAGGTGACGCAGCGTTGACACTTTAACGCATCACCTTTTACAGAAATCCAATGTATTAGGGTCCAGATGCAGTTTCTCTGCTTGGCTGACGTGATTAGGGGCCTCTCTTTGTGCCACACTCTGGCCTCAGGACCACTCTGCCCTCACTGACTAATTGGATAATGCAGGTGTGAGTGTCACAGTCCTGCATAGAAGAATGTCCCTTTACCAAGAAACAGGCCTCGTAGATAGAAATACACACTTTCAACTGCCACATGGATTAAGTGCAGCGGACAAACAACTTTGTGGTTCTTTTTTTTTTTTTTACTTCACTTGAATGTAAAAGGCTGATAAAACCTTATTCCTGTTGAATAAAATGGGGATGAACCCTAAAGTAATCCCTTCAAGTTTAAAAGTGTGAAATAATGAATCTGTCCAGTCTTGATTAAAAAGCCGCCAGCTTTTTTTCAGTGCTCATTACTCAACCATGTATTTTATTTTTCAGACAATTCGGTTGTCTTTAATAATCAGTGTGTCTTTTTTCTTTTGTGCTTAATTTTGTGAACCTCACTTACTGATTTGAATGCAAATGTCCATGTAAGCACTTAGAGTGCATGCAAATAATACAAAAACAAAGGTAAGAAAAAAATCCCTTCCTCAGCCATCTCATAAAATTGACTGGTTTAGTAGTGAATGTACAGCAGATCCATGATGTAGATTGTCTTTTTCACTGTTACCTAAATGTCTCTACCTAAACATATGTTCGCCTGTCAGCTATCCTGGCTATGGNTTAACCTTAGATCTACTGACCAGTCCAAAAAAAAAGTCTTCAAACACAGCTGGTGACTTGGCTGGGAAATGAGTTAGAATAGATTAGCATGCTCTGAATATAATTACAGCGGACTGTGTGCAGCCTGTCCCCTGTAATGAAGCCTCTGTCTGGTCATATAAACAAACATGCTCCCCTGCTCACTGACCTTCACCCCTTCAACCATAATTGTATTGTAATGATTGATGAGACGTCCACAGTGGTTAGCACTAACACTTTTGGATGAACAAACGAAGGTCAATGCGTGTGAGTCAGAACAAGGCGGCTACCTAGATGAAGTTTGGTGTCACGTCATATGTGATGAAATTTTCATTTTCATTTTAGGGTGCGATTTTCTCCTTCTGAAGAAGAAGGAGAAAATCGTGCGATTTTCTCCTTCTGAAGAAGAAGTCTCCTGTTCTGCAGATGACATCTAGGCACAGAGAAATCATAGCAAACCAGCCAACTTATTAATAATGCACCATTGGAATTTACAACTGTCAGCCTTTTTTGGTTTAGCAAAGCTTTTTTTAAAACTTTAAAACTAAATGTGAAATTGAAAAAAATATATATCAGGTGGTGGTGATAATGGATTGAGTGAAAATTATTTGTACTTTAACTTTCTTTTTTTATGTCCTGGCTTAATATGTTTTGTTCCCTTTGTTTAAGAAAAGTTCTTTAAAAGGTTAGTGTAAAAAGGTTTCCACAAAATAGACCATCAAACATGCTTTTAGTTGAAAACTGCTAGATAAAAATATATCAAGTAGCACAACCAAACATGGACATGTTGTGAAAATGCTTCTATTATTAAAGCAAATGGGTTTGAACATTATGCCATCATTCTAACGAAGATTATTCTACAAGGTCCTATGAATCCTTCAGGATAAACACTGAGACCCTGGAACAAATGACCTCACAACTATTTAACCTGTGCAAAGTGCAAATGTGTTCCCTAGCTCTCCTATTGCATCCGTCCATGTTTATTCAATAAATACCAATCCAGGAATTACACTTTAACAGATGAGATCAATCAGAAAGTGAAGTACATCAAATACCCACCGAACAATTAAACAAAAAACAACAAAATGATTTTGAGGAGGATAGACAATGCAACCTATTTTTTTAATATATGAGTCTGCAAATGGCATTAAATCTGATAAAAGGTAATATAACTTGAGTCAAAAGTTAGACTGAAACAACTAAAGGTTAGCTGTAGGATGTGACTTGCCCGTTTGTCTTTGTTGTTTAATATAGGCACTGCTGAATATTTAAATCAGTGTTGAGGTGTGTTGACGTGCTGACCTCGAACATCTGCAGTCAACATATGATAGGGGAAGCCACATTTGCATGTTGCTCTCCGTCCGTCTGCTTGCTAATTTTATAATAAGTCTCTAACCACCACATTAAATGCAACTAAAACTACACAGATATTTCTGTAACTATCCCTGAAATGATTTACCACAAAGATTAACATTATCAAAACACATCTGCATGCATTTATACGCTGATAGAGTGCATGTGTGAATATGAGTGAGGAAGTGGCTCATGGAATACTGATTCCAGGAGATTGAACTGGTGTTGGCACGGGCTGCTCCAAAGATCTTATCAACACTGCAAGGATTCTTACTGCGATGAAATGTTCTCTCACCCAAATATTAGGTCATTAGTCAAAGCTGCCTTACAAGATGGATTTTAATTTTGCATAGAACACAGCTCTCTGCAGTGGAACCTTCCGCATCCTAATATTACTGGGTTAGATATGTCTCTCAGTATTCCCAGCGTCTTGTGTTCGTAGGTTCGAGCTATGTCCAAAAAGTTAGTCAAAAAAAGAGTTTTCTCACATGCAAAAGATTATGATATGAATGAAATTTCCGCCTATGAGGATGAGCGGTACATCACCAAGGGGGGGCAGTTAGTTTGTTATCACTAACTGCTCAGGATTTGATGAATATGTGTTGGATAATAAAGGCTGCAAAAAAAAAAAAAAAAAAAAAAAAATTAAAGCATGAGCCACATGCAGCTCAAAATGTTCTCTCCTGGAATTAGACTTTGGACAAGTCTCTAATGCAAACGACAAAGGTAATTAAAATAGGATTGTGCAAATGTATTCATTAATTTCATGTATTAATTAGTGACATTAATTAGATTAGAATTTGTGAAACATTTAAATGTTATACAAATCTTGATACACATTCAGTATAGACTGAATGTGTATCAAGTCAAAGTAACTTTTACCCCAGTTCTCAAACTCATAATTAAACATAATATCCAACCCCCGAGCGTGGGGTTGTGGAGACAAATTCAGGTCAGACACAACTTGTTTAACAATCACAGGGCAGTAAATAGGTCTGTGACTGACACAATCGTCAAATGGACTGTGAAGGACTTTAAACTGATTCTTATTGTTGAAGACAAGGGCTCTTATAACTGTCAAGGTGATCTATTGTCCAGATCCACAGTGATGACTGGAATCCGCTAACTCTTGGAAGACACATTTTTACATATTTTTTAGATTTTTTTCTGTTAATAATAAAAAAATTATTTGTGTTGGAGCAATAAAACAAAACAAATGTTCTATTTTGATTAACTGAATGATTGATTGGTTGATTGATTGAACAATTGGGATTCAAGTCCCAAACTGTGTGAACTAAGAAAGTCCAACACCAGATCAGTCCTTAACTCTGGCCTAAACAACTCACAACTCTCCTTGGCAGTTTTCCCCACAGCCTTGAAGATTGAAAAAGGATGAATTAATGCTGTTGATATATAAAGTCCTTGTTGATCCTGACACTGCATTTAATGAATGATCTATTCATAAACATAAGCACAGGGTAGTTTTGGATGACAAAGAACAGTGCAGGTAGCTTAGCTTTTATGGTGATACTTCATTTATGGTCTCTGATGTTGACAGGGAAATTTTTCAAACGTCCATTTTCAACATCCATTCTATTTGTGGTTTATTGTTTTTTATTATTATTTTTCACCTCCTGTCTAGCTTGTATATTTTTAGGCTACACAATCAAGTTCCAGTAATCCCAGCGCTAAATCCACAGTTGTTCTGCTCTTTGTAACACAAGTGGCATCCAACTAAATGCAAATGTCCAAAACAACAAAATGTATCTTCCTCTCTGCTTCACTGTCTACCTCTTTTGCCACCCCTTCATCCATCCATCCATCCATCCATCCATCATCCATATACCACACCCTCATCCATAATGCCTTTATGAACAAGTAGCCATGAGCAGTAGTATGAGAACGACCCTGAATCTGGATCCAGTGGCAACATTACAAACATGTATCTGTCAGTTTTTGAGTGGACTATTCCTGTATTTTCACTGGATTCCCTGTCCTTTCTGAGCAACTAGAAACCACTCTCTGTCGTTCGTGTCGATGTGTTAGCGTGGGTCGACAGAGAGAGGAGAAGCCATGTGAGCGACACTTTTAATTTTCCACACACTGCATCAGTGTCGTATCAATGATAGCGTGGGGTTAGCATCGCCTCAGACAAGCGCTGCCAAGCTGTCCAACACACTCTGCAGCACACAGATTAAAAACTCTCAGCCAACTAGGGAACTTGAAGCAGCGATGTGGTGTCTCTAAAACTCTCCAGGTGCAGTAGTCTATAGCTGGACTCATGCTAGTATAATTATGTTCAAAATTGTGTTGAACCATGAACTCCTTGGAGGAAACATTTGCATCTCTTGCTCCAGCTTTCCAGTCGAGTTTTTATTTTTTCTACATGCAAACAACTAAAGATGTGTAAGAATCAACAGTGGAGCGGACCTTACCTGTCACTCTCATCCCATGTTATACAGGTCTGGTTAGAAGTTCCCTAATGGACAGAGAACACACAGGGCTTTAACATATGTTCACAAATCTAAAAAGAAAATACAAGATCACAATAACTGGTCCTCTGGATTCTGAACTTACGTTGTACCGGTGAGAGAATTCGACTACAACTGGAGCAGAGAGAGAGGCTGGAGTCGGCTTGATTGTCACTGACAGAACCTTGGAGTTGAGGACAGAGTTGTTCCTGTAGGAAAGACAGACAATGTGCTGTGTTATTTTAGATGTATATTTATTAACAGTTTATCACCTTTTTTTCTGTATAGAATGTCAAACATGGCATTCATTTTGACTGATGTCCTTTTCATGGCACAGGTCAGTAGCCACAATCTTCTTTTCTTCCTTCCTTCCTCACCATCTTCTTCCTGCTGTCTTTCTTTCCTTTCTTCTGCCTTCCTCGCTTCCATCCTTTCTTTCCACCTTGTGCTGGTGTTTGGTCTTATCTTCTTTCCATATTTTCTTCCTTCTTCCTTTCTTTTTTCCTTTCTTTCTTCTTTTCTATCATCCTTTCTACTGTCCTTCCTTCCTTCCTTCCTTCCTTCCTTCCTTCCTTCCTTCCTTCCATACAGTACTTCATGCATTCTATTCTTTCCTAATTTCCCTCACTTCATTACTTTCTTCCGGCTGTCTTCCTACCCTCCTTTCTTCATTCTTAACTTACTTCAATTTTCTCCCAAGGACACAACTGGCTTTCAGTTTTCAGTTCTCATCTCTTTAATCCATTTGTTGTGAACTCTGTTTACAGTCTGTGGCCAGCAGCTCCCAAACTTTCCAAAACACCTTTTATTTTGTCACTATATTTTTGACCCATCTTCTAATTACCATTTTAATCAAAAGTTTTATAGGGATGTAAAAGAGAAGTAGTTATGAATGATCATAAAATCTTTGATAAAGTTCCATTACATTTCAGCTAACAGAACAGGCCTCATAAAAGCTGCTAATGATCCTTTACTCTCTGCTGATGCAGGAGAGTGTTTTTAATGTTTCTCCCTCTCAGCTCTCTGTGTGTCAGCCTCACCTTGATATGGATGAAATAACCTGACTGCTCAGTTTCAATTTAGTGTAAGATTTTACTGATTACATCCAAAATACTTTATTGTTGGGTTTTAGTTTTCACCTAAGTAAGTTCAGGTTGCAGTTGAAGTAAAAGAGTCAGAAAACAGTTCATCTCTTCTTCATAATCACAACCTGACTATTGATCTAAATGACAGTGTTTTCTCTTTAGATCTGGAGGCATTGCATTAGTGATGATCATTTATGCACAGTTGGAGGGAAAATAAGCAGTCCAAAAAGGATAATCTATAACTGTAGAAAATACTAGACTTATTTTTCTCTCTCTTTCTCTAAATGTTAAGATTATATTTCAACAAGGTAATTGATAAATGTATAATATGCTTAGGCTACAGATAGCTGAAAGAATAAGACAAAAACTGTTGTTCAGTTGTCTTTGGTCAGGATGCAGCAGTAGCTGAAGACTCCAATAAAGCTGATGTTTTATAGACCTCACAGATGGTTTTATGTCATGTCATAATATGCACCCTACCGTGGAAAACACAACAGATAGAACAGGGGGGACGTATAGGAGCACTATAAATACATATGTTATGTTTTCTTTTCTATTATTACTACACAATGCAATCCATCTGACATCTTAGTAGCAAAGATAGGTCAAAAAACTGGTCAACTTTAGCTGTTATTGTATTTCATGGGCTATTCTGTCATTATTTTTGCTGTTCTGTGTCTTCTGATCAGAAACCACAGGCAGATCTTCATGTTGTGGACAGGATTAAATCAACTGCACGTTAGTGCGAAAACAAATCTGATGGAAGAAAATGAAATGAACAAAAAAGTCATTTCTAGGCACCTTTAGCCGCTACCTTGTTAACACTGCAGCTGCACTGTCTGTAGTACTTAAATAAAAGTGAATGAGGAATGTAGCCTCCCAGCCATTGTGGCTGAAAATGTAAAGTTTTGCAATGTCTTATCTTATACAATTTTGGAGCCTTTTTTGATTCCTCCTCCCTGCTTGGTATGCATTACAATTTCTGCATTTCAGAGCTACTATCAATCATGTGAAATGGGACAATGAGGAAACGTGAATTGCTGCTGGAAATACTGACACTGAAAGCTTCCAGTTGACTAAACATGTTCAATACTCCATGCTGTGTTTTCCCACATCTTCACATCATCACTACATCTTCCATGCCCAATCTCACACTTGCACTGTTCTTAAAGACACTCAGTCAAGCTAAACTTTTGTGTCATCTGCTCCCTTCCTTTAACCTCATCTCATTTTCCATGACAGCGGGATCGACTGCAAAACATAAATGAGAGGGTGAAGATGGAAAGAATAAAAAGGGGAAAACAAACCAGTGGCAGACCAGAGTGGGAGGATTAGAGAGGCTCTGCTTCAGTTCTGCATCCATGTGCTGCCAGTTTATAATGCAATTATTGACATATGGGTGAGTTCCTCATCGCTGTAACCACAGCTGTGAAAAACCGACTAATTTCTGCAAACATTACCTCGCATGTACAAGCCTACACACACGGCTGTGCTCCAATAAACTGTTCCCAGTCATGACAACAAGCACTTTCTGTAAGGGACCACTTTACACTTTCACACATTAGCTGCTGCTGCTTTTGCATCAGAATGCTGGTTTTCATTTAGCTAAGAAATTTGGCCAAGCTGTGATGTAACACTCTAATAATGTTCAGTGGCAATTTACAATGACTGGAAACAGCAAAAAGCTCTTGCAGTATATTTCAAATTAAAGATTTTCCTTATGCTCTTTGCAATAGAGCATGTGTCAAACTTAAGATGCGCAAGCTGAATGTGGCCCACCGAGTCATTCCGTGCGGCATGTGTACATGATTGCCCCATAATGAAGAGAATAAATTATTACATACATTACAACCATAATATTCAATTTCATTAAGGATCTATGATCAGAGATCTACTTAGTGTGTCCAAGGACAGCAGCGTCACTTCATCAACTTCATCCAAAACCTGACTCATATAGTTTGGTCTGAGGTTTTTGTGCTTGTTGTCTGAGTTTTGTATATATATATATATATATATATATATATATATATATATATATATATATATATATATATGTTTGTGTGTGTACAAAAATATCCAATACTCCTGACAATGTGATGGTCACACTGTTTTGGCCCTGCAAAAAACTGGCCACATTATTACTAATGGGCCACATGAGTCAACATTTTTGTCGCTGCCAGTTTGCGATACAATTCCCAGACTTTGGACACGTTCACATAGAGTATAATAACTTGGTCATTTCTATGACAGGGTCTACAGTTGGACAGTGCAGCAGGGAGCAGTCTCACCTCTGCAGCGACAGGATGCTGCCCAGGTTTCTGTACAGAACGATGCCGACCACAAAGGTTGAGGCGTCATCTGAATCTGCAGCAAGGAGGAAAAAATACAAACAGTGAGAGTGTGTAAACATCGAAGACAGAAGTGTGTGAAGGGGCCGAAACAGTTCAGCGTGTGTTTGCACAGAGGCCTGCTACAAGAGAATGGAGGTCAGCCATGCTGCATGGGGTTTTCTCACTGCCCTTAGAGCTGTTTACACTGGCCTACATGGTTAGTCAGCTGTAAACAAACAAACAAACACAAACTCACAATAACTACTACACATGGTTACAAAGTAGACAGAGTGTGAACGCTGCATATGTTTGAACAACACTGACTAGAGCGATCGGATGAAATGATATATATTTAGAATCAACACTGCAATTTGGAAGTGAAGGATATCGTTTGTTAAAAACCGGATGTTTTTTTAAAGATGTTTCATTCAGCTGTAGAGAATGTGGAATAAATGATCGGTCTAAGTTCATGACATAATACAGGTTGGTGCTTGTATTTTATGTTTACCTTTACATTTTATGTCTGAAATTATTTGTTGAAATACCATTATATGTCTTGAAGCCTGTGATAATATAAAGATAACTACAACCCCACAGCATTTCTAACATCTGTAGACACATAACATGAGGTAGATGTCAGTCTTTCACGCATGAAAGACTGTGTATCTGAGACATTTGTCCAGACTTGGACTGTGCGATGGCACAGACGAAGCTGGCGGCGAAAAAGAAGATTTCTCATTTTGGATGTGGTGTAAAAGGCAAATTATTAAAAAAAATATGTGAAAAAAACACAAGTCCATCTGCCGGGCCATCTGAAGACATCCAGCACTTTTGGACCAACGCGGCACACGGCTGTCTGAGAGTATGCAGCAGTGGTGCCAAGCCTCCTGAAGGAGCTGCAGCTTCAGGGCAACAGCTGAGCTCCCATGGGTACCAGAGGGGAACCAAGGAAGCTATGAGCATGTGTGTGTGAGTGTGTGTGAGTGAGAGAGAACGAGGGAGAGACCGTGATGAGTTATTATGTACACTGCTCATCCAGCCTTTGGCCGACCTCCCTTACATGCTCGGCCAAATTCAGTCTTTGCCCAAATTCAGTGGCCCAGAGTGACTTCAACCATCAAGTTGCTAAGATGTTTGCATGCATAAAAAAGAATTAAGTAATAATAACACCTTTATGTACAGGCTCCTGTCATGCATAAAAAAGAATTAAGTAATAATTATATATATCCTTTATGTACAGGCTCCTGCCTATACTTTATATGGTGTAGGCCAGTTTATGACACAATACCAGAATAAATAACATTTTAATTTATTCCTGAACAAAATCCAATGTTAATTAAAAAAAATCCCCCCAAAATAACCCATGTCGCATGTTCTAGCTAATGTTCAAAGAAGGTCTATGTCTAAAGATACATTGTACAAATGCTCTTCACATACAGCTGCTGTTAATGTGACCCCTGCACATCTGTTCACATGTTTACACACACTCTGTTGGAGTTTTCTGGATGAACAAACACCGCCTGAGGGAATAATAATCAATGAACTAGACAGATGAGCTGAGATTTACACAAGTTTTTAAAACATATGACAAACAGATAACAAAAAGAAACTTTAATCCCAGTGAAGATGTAACTGTACTTAATCCTGATTGGCTCTGGTAAATAAATCTACGTACAGATTGTCTGTATATAAATAGAAGTGAAAGGGTCGATTCAGAGTACGTACTATCACAGAGTAAAAAATATCAAGGAGTATATTTTAAGGCAGAGCCATCTTGTATAAATAACCAACGACAGGCTGCTGCTGAGACTCAACAATTACATAATAATAATACTAATAATACTAATAATAATAATAATAATAATAATAATAATAATAATAATAATAATAATAATAATAATAATAATAATAATAATAACAATATTTTAAAACACCAGACATTGCCAAGTTCTTCACTTTCCCCAAAGGGAAGGTGTGCACACACTTCCTCTAAAAAAACCTCTGCTTTAATCTCACTTTAAACATTACACTAACTTTACAAAACATTGTTTCAAACCATGATATGTTTTAGCGCCCTCACCTGGTTTTCCCGTCGATACAATGTTCTTAGGGATGGTAACTCTGTCCTCAGAGTTGCGGGCCCAGTCCACCATCCCCCTCCAGCCCTTCATGGGAAAGTTGATGTCTGCATGACCGGTCACAGGACGTTTGTGGATGCTCAAAACTAGGAGAAGAAAATGGCCGACAGTTAATTACATGTTTCCTAACTTGAGAATGCCATGGCACAGTTAAAGCTGATTTTGCCCTTCCTTCCTTCCTTCCTTCCTTCCTTCCTTCTTTCTTTCATTCTTGCCTTTCTTCCCACATTCCT